AAAAAAAAAAAAAAAAAGAAGAAAATGTATCATCTAAAGAACTAGCCTACAGAACAATTGGGAAGCCAGCCTCAAACACTAATCTCTTTTCTTACTTATCTTCCTGGCCCAGCCATCTCCTCACCCCTACCTAAGTGCTCCCTGGGGGAGCCCTACTCCCCTTGCTAAGTGTTGTCCTTAAAGAAACATGGCTGTGACCAGAAGCCAGCCTGGGTCTTGCCCCAGAGTTATCTTTCCCTGTAGCCCCAGATGGCTTGTGGGCTCCACCAAAGAGGACCCTGCTCTGCAGCCAGCCCAGAGCCACCTACCTCTGGCCCCAGGCTGTGGGCAGCAAGAGGAATGTGTGCACACTTGGCGAGCCTTCTGCCCACCCTGTCCACATCTAATAAGTGCAATCATTTTGAGTCTTCCTATGTTGTCTAGAGGGAGGGGTTTTTGTTTTCTGGTTTTGTTTTTTGTTTTTGTTTCTTTTTCCTCTATTAGAACAACCCTATTTATAGCTGCCCAAGAGAGAAGAGTGTATGTCTGAAGTGGAAGAAAAAAAGTTTTGAATCTCATGAACACCTTGAGTGCTGGAACATCTGTCTCTGCTCCCCCACCAGTGGCCATCCAGACCTCTCGAGCCCTCAGCTGGGGGAACTCAGAACTGTAGCTCAGAGGCACCTGATGTGTAGGAGAGTAATTCTGGGGACTTGATGGAGCAGGAAGGAGTGGGACCTATGTTTGCTAAACCAATCCTGCCATCTCTATGCCTCTCTATGGATTCAGCATGGACCTCATGATTGTAGAGGCCGATGAATTGGTCAGTGATTCTCTACTCCCAAGTAGGGAAAGCCTCCATCTTTTCCCTGCCTTCATCCTGTTTTCCCCGATGTGCACAGGACAAACCCCCTGGGGATGGGCTGACTCAGGCCCCTGAGGCCAGAGACAAGCTATGGCTATGGGAACCAAGAATCGGACAGTTACCCAGGCATGAAGTTTGCCTGACCTTAGCCACTCTGCCTACCTTACCTGTTTGCCATTCCCTCTCGGCGTTGACTTCAAGCCTAGCTTCCTCCATTACTGCTTTTCAAAAGGAAGAATCAAGTCCATGCCCAAGCCCACATCGTGCACACATTCTCCCCTCATTCTGCTGCTGCCTATAAAATTATTTCCCATTTGCTCCTTTTAGTTCCCCCAAAGCTATTCAATCAAAGTAGTCCTATTCAATCAAAGGCTACCAATTAACTCCTAGGGTTCATTTGTAATTGACCGTCCAGGCTACTGCTCCTCCCAGGAGAGGCAACACTAAATAAAGAAGCCTACACCATCCCCTCACTACCTAATCAGTAGCATTCACCAGCCAAAGACAGCCTTAGGCAGTAGGTAACCAATGTCCCAGATAGTTCCCCTGATATCCATTAGCCAATGCCATGGCTCTTAGGAGTGGAATATCTGGCTTCCTTTGTCTCTCTGAGTCAAAGAGTGCTCTGCAAAAGATACAAAATACCTACTTCCAAGCAAGAAAATGGTCATTTAATAGAAGTATCCACACTTCCCAGGAAATGCCATGAAAACTGCTTGAATCAGCTCTGACCATCTTAATTCTCCACCAGAAGCCAGGATAATTTTCTGATTCTCTCCCTACCATTTTGCATCTCTCTTAAAAAGTTAAACAGAGTAGTTCCCAATTTATGCCTTCAGGGTCTTGCTTCTTGCTCTCCTCCTTTCCTGTCACCCCATATATACACATAAACCTACTTCCTCCGATAATTTATTCCATGGTTTCTGGGAACTGCAAATGATTTCCACAGCATGGAAAGTATAGACCACTAGGCTTCTTAACTGATGTCAAGACAGATCCTGGTGAGCAGGGAATGACCTGCTAATGTCCACATTTAATTTAGGTCATCCCACTTGGGGGTTAACAATCCAGGCAAAGCTGCTGCTGAACCTAGGAGGAAGCCAATCCTAGGGCATCAAACTAGGGCTTCAGTGGACTGAATGAGGAGTCAACACTCAGGGATTCTCTAGACCCTTACAGGTCAGACAGAAAAAGAGGTTTTTACCAGTGTGGGGAAGGAAGAAGATGGTGTACGTGGGAACTTTCATGAACCAGTCCCGAGGCCTCTCTGCAGGAGGGGGTGTTAACAGGACTGCAGTACTGTGAGGCCTCATTTATCCTAGTACAAAACCTGCGCTGCTCTGGGTCTGGGAGTGGGAAGCCATTTCTGCAAGGGCTCTGAGCACCAAGTGATGCATATCAGAAAGGCACTTCAATCCTCAGCAATGCAGCAATCCCTTTTCACTTCTCTGCTTCCCTTTTTCCGTATTAGGCCTGGTCCATTCCCTAAACGTGAGGGAACTCTCACAGTCAGAAGAGAACTGACCAAAGCCTGGACTTGAGCTGCCCTGCCCCAGGGCTATAAATCCCCAGAGGCAGACACTGCTCTGACTTCCCTAGGATTGAGTTAGTTTGAGGTAATGAAGGCTCAGATTTGTTGCTGCAAATTCAGGAATACAGTCATGGTCTCTGTCCCTAATGAAATTGTTTATATGTAAGAAGTATTCTCCATATTCATGTTTGAAGGGACTCTGTAGTGGATTGGATGGTCGTATATCAAAATGTCAGAAAACATTATAGAGCATTCAAACTTTTGTATTCGCTATTTAACCTCAATATAACAGGCTCAAACTAGGGGAAGGGAGACAGAGTATAACTGACCATAAGCAGAAAATAATGTTAACCTGCTTGGCTTCTTTCTAAAGCACAATAAAAGAAAAGTGGAAGCAAACAACACAAGGATATCTTTAAATCTGACCTGTCTCAAAGATCGCGCACCCTGCGCTTGGGCCATTATTTGGACTAGGAACCCTTTAAGAAGATATATGATTAGAGAGAATGGAACTTCCAGTTCTATTATCAGCTTATCTAGACAACACAAATTGTAGCAGTTTGGACAAACTGAAAACTTTATTCTTCTGTGTGAGTTAAACTGAAGTTTCAGAGAATAATCATTATCATGTGGGAGGCTTCTTTTTAATGCAAAAAAAAAAAAATCTCAAAATGTTGTATTTATATCTGCCTTCCACTGCTGCCAATATAGTAAGCATCTCCTACACAATCAACAATAAACAGTAAATGATGCAGTTCATAGAGTATTTTGCACTTGGGGAAAAAATGTATCTGAACTTGTAAAAAGAAATGTTTGGATTCTGTATTGTCTTTTTTTATTATTATTATTAAAATACTAAATAAAACTCCTCAGCCTGACATCTTTTCCTTTGTCTCCGTAGTTTATCCTAGAGCTGGAAAAAGGTTTGAGGAAACAAAGTGTCTTCTGGCTTCCAGATAGGACTTTTAAAATTTTTTCATGCGGTACCTAGGTGGCTCAGTCGGTTGAGCTTCTGACTCTTGATTTTAGCTTAGGTCATGATCTCCTAGTCATGAGATCAAGCCCCTAGTTGGGCTCCGTGCTAAGCATGGAACCTGCTTGGCCTCCTCTCTTCCTGTCTGCCCCTTCCCAACTTGCATGCATGCACCCTCCCTCTCAAAATAAATAAATAAACTTAAAAAAATTTTTTTTTCATTTATCCATCTTATTCCTAATGATTTTGGAATCTGAAAAGGCTTGTCTCTCTATTTTTCAAGGCAGTATACGATATTTAGGGTATTGTTTCTTCTCACTATAGTACACTTCCCCAAATCTAGCCAGGCCACAGGCTCCCTAATTAAGATGTCTTACCTCCAGCAAAATGCCAGCACTGAGTCACCCAAGGTTGTTCTTTTTATGCAGTACACTCTTGGCCACCAGAGAGAATTTTAAAATATCATTCAGCCATACCACCATTACCACTAGACCACAGGAATGTCCAATCTCTTACAAACAAACGGTACCATTTTCCAGGCTCAGAGAGGACAGATAAAACTTAATGGTTTCAATTATATAATCTCCTGACATAAAATTTTACTGGATTTAATAGCTATATGATATAGTAATTTAAAAGGAACAAGGAAAAATCTACCTAATCAAATGTTGGGTTGGTCTACTAGAATCCCAAACTTCCCCATGAGCACCTGTAAAGGATAGGTGCATTCACTTCACAATTATTGAGCTCCTATTATGTGCCATGCATCAGGTTATCATAG